CCACCACCACCATCAACACCATCATCACCACCACCACCATCATCACCACCATCATCATCACCATCACCAACATCACCACCACCATCACCACCATCACCACCACCACCATCACCACCATCATCACCACCACCACCACTCTTCCCCCTCCCTCCCTCCCCCCGTGCCCCCGTGGTTGTCGCAAGGTCATCCGTAACCGCATTGATGACGTCACCGCGCGCTGTGACGTCACCGCGCTCTCGGTCGCCGCAAGGATTCCCTTACGTCGAGTACGTCACAGCGCGCAATGTTTTACGGGGGGGGGAGGGGGGGGTCCCTCAGGCAGCCGTGAACATTCCACATTCCCATGACGGGAGGCTATTATATACTAAGGAAGACCGTTATTTCGGGCCCATTGGGATTCGCGGGAGAGAAGATGACGTCATCGCGCCCTGCGCTGTGACGTCATCGCGCGGGGGTTCCCTATTGACGATGATGTCATCGCTCTACATTGTCATCTCATCGATGTGAATAATGTGGTCGTCGACATGACCATCGTGATGACGATGACGATGTAATTAAAACAGCCATCATCACCACCATCAGCAGTAGCATCGAAATCCACACCGAACGTCGACATAATTAACATCATCATCTTCATCAGCTGTCCGTGAGCACAATGTAAATACAAATGTCACCTCATTTATAGAACAGTTTTTTGTATACAGATGGTTGTCCTTCCCGTGCACGTCAACACACATCATCAATAACGCGATCAATATCATCGTCATGACCCACAGCATCAACAGAACCATAATCATCACAGTTACCATCGTTATTACCCTTAACTCAACAAACATAGTAATCCATCCATGACCGACGGCATCACCATCGGCAACACAATCATTAGCATCATAACACCACCACCATCATCATCATCAGCAACACAATCATTAGCATCATAACACCACCACCATCATCATCAGCAGCAACACAATCATTAGCATCATAACACCACCACCTCACATCATCATCAACAACAAATCATTAGCATCATAACACCACCATCACCATCAGCAACACAATCATTACCATCATAACACCACCACCATCATCACCATCAGCAACACAATCATTAGCATCATAACACCACCACTATCATCATCATCAGCAACACAATCATTAGCATCATAACACCACCACCATCATCACCACATCACACAATCATTAGCATCATAACACCACCACCATCATCATCATCAGCAACACAATCATTAGCATCATAACACATCATCATTATCCATTCTCATCAACAAAATCATCAGCGGCAGTAACCACAGAATTATTAGCAAAACCCAAGCAGCAACAGTAGTAGCATTCACTCATCAACACCAATCATCACCAGCATCACCATCACTCACACGAGGGGTCGTTAAAATTGTTACCGCGGTGACGTCACACGGGCGCTGTAATGGTCGTCCCTGGACGAGACTAACGCGGTCCGCATTCATTTTGGTGACATTTTACATCTATTCTTACATTGTTTTTATATTTTATTTTACCAGGTAAAGCCCACTGAGCTACAGTTTCTAGCTCGTCTTCAGCAGCGGCCTGACCCACACATGCCCGCTCAACGAAGTGGCTCACAGGGTAAATCCTAATCAATTAGACTGAAACTAAAACTGAAACGTGGACATATGAACCTCATGGCGGTACCCCGGGGTGCCACAGTACTATAAGGATCATACTTCGCAGCCAAACACTCTAAACGCGTGATGTTGATCCTAAATGTGGAGGGGAAAAAAACGGAGGAGCCGGAGAAAAATCCACGCGACCACGGAGAGAAGACACGCAAACTGCAAATCTACAGCAGCAGGCGTCGTCAGGGGTCCAGATCGAACCCACGACCTCCTGCACACCAGGCGAGGTAGTTAACATCTCCTAGCCACCGTGATGATGATGAGAGAGAGACCCAAACTCCAAATCTACAGCAGCAGGCGTCGTCAGGGGTCAGGATCGAACCCACGACCTCCTGCACACCAGGCGAGGTAGTTAACATCTCCTAGCCACCGTGATGATGATGAGAGAGACGCAAACTCCAAATCTACAGCAGCAGGCGTCGTCAGGGTCAGGATCGAACCCACGACCTCCTGTACACCAGGCGAGGTAGTTAACAGCTCGCTACCGTGGCGCCCGCATTCATTTTGGGGCCGTCCATAAATGACGTCACGAGATTTGGGACGATTTTTGACCCCCACCCCCCTTCGTCACACGGCGTCACAAAAGTCAGACCCCCCCCTCTCAAATATGACGTCACAAAGCTCTACCCCCCCCCCCCCAAAATAAAACATGCTTCAAATCGCTTAAAACTATTGTCATTGTAGTGCGTATTTAATGTGGCGCTGCACTCTGATGTTGTAGGAGAAAACATTTATTAAAAGTCTATTTAATGAAGTAGAACGTGTTGTCTGTATTTATTTAAAGTTGCGCATTTTGATGTGACGTCACATTTCTCAACCCCCCCCTCGTCACACATCGTCACAAATATCTGACCCCCCCCCCCACGTGCGTGACGTCATTTATGGACGGCCCCTTTCTGCTTCACGCCACCACCTCTCACGAGCCTGATTAGCAGAAGCTACATAACGGACCAAGCCCCAGTTATGTAACCACATTGTTACAAACTCTCTCCTCATTAGCCATTGATTGGCCGTGCTCGCCTAATTGCAGGCTGCGTCTTACTCTCCAGGTGCGTCTTATAATCCGACACATCCAGCAACGTCCCCTCCCGCCTGCCGCGGTGTCCCCTCGGCGGGCTGGGCTAAAGAAGGATCCATGGGCTGAGGGGAGGGGCCGTGGGGGAGGGGGGGGGGGGCGGGGGGAGCCTGCACGCACGTGGGACCTTATCTCCGTGTATCCTTCCGCGCAAGGACACAGGCGGTGTCGGAAATAAATAAATAAACCCCGCGACGCTAATGGGATTCTGAGCACACGTGTGTGTGCACGAGGCAAAGATCACCCGTGTAGCCTCAACAGGCCGTCTGAGGGCAAGTGCTGTTAGCGAGCACGTAACGAGGGCACCAGGCCCGGCCGTCTTTGTCTCTCCCCCAGTGTGACCCGGGCGTCTGTTTGGTCTGTCGCTCACAGGAGGAGGACCCAGGGTCAGCCTCAATGTACCCGCGTGGCGTGAAGTCCGTCTCGTGCTCAACGCGTCCAATAAATCGACCCCCATCATCATCATCACGATCATCATCGGTCAATGAGTGACCTCGCCTTCCGTGGGGGTGTGACGCGCGCGTCGAGAGAAGGCGAACACTGCACGGACGATTCCCTGGGGCTCACGGGGGGACGCGCTTTCAGCGAGCGCCTATCAAGGCGCCAATGAAGACGGCCACCGACTTGCCCGGAATGCACCCAGGGACACGCCAGGGTCTCGGAAGCGAAGCGGAGCTTGAGCCTGGAGAGTTTAGAATCGGAATATTTACACTCGACGAGGAATCCGATGAGATGTGAAGCTCGTTTATTCACAGATGTCCAGTCTGGGCGGGATAGAACGTTACAACAACAACAACACACGATACAAAACAAAAACACGGCAGGAGTGCAAAGTATAGGAAATTTAAACAAATCACTTTAAAATATACGAATACAAATCACAATTTCTTAATTCTCTAAAAAATAAATATGACCAGGCACAGCACGCTGAGTTGCTGGGCTGTGTGCCTGCGTGGTGGCTCTGACATGGACCCTGTGAGCCCCAAGAGCGGGAGGAGAGGAACACCCACGCAGAAGGGCCAGTGGATTGTGCCGAGGGACTCTGCGTGTGGTGTCCGACCTGGCCACGGTGAACCCCCTGACAGAGAGAGAGACACACACAGGGCCCTGACAGAGAGAGAGACACACACAAGGCCCTGACAGAGAGAGACACACACACAAGGCCCTGACAGAGAGAACACACACACAGGGCCCTGACAGAGAGACCACACACACAGGGCCCTGACAGAGAGAGAGACACACACACAGGGCCCTGAGAGAGAGACACACACACAGGGCCCTAGAGAGAGACACACACACAGGGCCCTGAGAGAGAGACACACACACAGGGCCCTGACAGAGAGACACACACAGGGCCCTGACAGAGAGAGAGAGACACACACACAGGGCCTTGACAGAGAGAGACCACACACAGGGCCCTGACAGAGAGAGGACACACACAGGGCCCTGACAGAGAGAGACACACACACAGGGCCCTGACAGAGAGAGAGACACACACAGGGCCCTGACAGAGAGAGAGACACACACACAGGGCCCTGACAGAGAGAGACACACACAGGGCCCTGACAGAGAGAGAGACACACACACAGGGCCCTGACAGAGAGAGAGACACACACACAGGGCCCTGACAGAGAGAGAGACACACACAGGGCCTTGACAGAGAGAGACACACACACAGGGCCCTGACAGAGAGACACACACACAGGGCCCTGACAGAGAGAGAGAGACACACACACAGGGCCTTGACAGAGAGAGACACACACACAGGGCCCTGACAGAGAGAGAGACACACACACAGGGCCCTGACAGAGAGAGAGACACACACACAGGGCCCTGACAGAGAGAGAGACACACACACAGGGCCCTGACAGAGAGAGAGACACACACACAGGGCCCTGACAGAGAGAGACACACACACAGGGCCCTGACAGAGAGAGAGACACACACACAAGGCCCTGACAGAGAGAGACAACACACACAGCGCCCTGACAGAGAGAGAGAGACACAGGGCACTGAGAGAGAGACCACACACACAGGGCCCTGACAGAGAGAGAGGACACACCACAGGCCCCTGACAGAGACACACGCAGGCCCCGGTTCGCAGATCTCGGAAACTAAGCAGAGTTTGAGCCTGGATAGTTTCTGGAATGGGTGGTGGGGGGGGAGGGGCACACACCATGCATAGCAGGTGCTATAGGCTGATGCAGGGCTATGTTGGTGTTGAGTGCCGTGCAGCAGTATCCATTGTTGTACTGTACCACTATGCTCCAGCAACTCGCAGCGACCAGCGCGTGGTGAAGTATGGCCAACACCCCCCCCCCACGGCCCCCACCATGACAAACACGGCGCGGTGTGAGATTCTCATGCAGCAGTGGATTGACAAGCAAACGACTGCCACATTAGGGGACGGGATGAGTGGGAAAAACAGTCTCCGTGGTTCTAGATTGAAGCTTTCGTGACTGCAAGGATTCATATTCTTAGGCTTTTTTCGGTAAAGTCACGTAGGTAAAAATTCAATTAAAATTAATGAAAGTAAAATAAATAAAAATAATAAAATAAAATAAAAATCACGACGTTTCGGAGGCACACAAGCTTCCGTCTTCAGGTGGAACCGTCACAGCACGACTGCTGTATACACCAAGCGTGCTGTGACGGTTCCAACCTGTTGCCTCCGAAACGTCGTGATTTTTATTTTATTTTATTATTTTAACTTTATTTTACTTTCATTAATTTTTATTAAAAAATGTTACCTACGTGACTTTACCGAAAAAGCCTAAGAATATAGTCTCCGTGGTGCTGGCGCGACTGCTCTGTGGGGCTCTGCCACGGCCTGCCAGCGGTCTTCCTCTGACGCCTGCCACGGCGCCGTGCGGCAGACGCCCGCACGCGTCCAGCTTCAGACGGCCACAGCGAGAGCCTCTTCTTCTGTACCAGCGTGGCGGTCACCCACCGATCATTATCGAGCTCGCGTGAGACAAACCTCGCCCTCTCTCAACGCCCTCCGACCTCGATGCATGCGTCGAACGGCTGCATCATCAGGTCGCACTCATCACACGCACAAAGTGTATGGCCACGAGTGAAGCACGCAATACCTCGCTGATCTCGGCACGGGGACATCAACCATCACCACCACGCGGCTTTTTAGCTGAACATCGAACGAAGACGGTCCGACGCAACGCGCGTTTTTAAGATGCGTTCCTGCGGCCGTCTGGAACGCTCTCTTCCTTCCGATTGTTAGGAAGCCACTGGAGCTGAGCACTTTTAAAGCGAGATTAAAAACTGATTTTTTTAGAACTTATTTTTGTGTTTAGTTCGTTGTCCTTTCCTCGCACCTCCGATTATCACGGTTGGCTACATACGGTGCCAAGTAAGTTCAACATACATATACTATTTTTTTACTTCAATTTGTATTTTAGCAGGTGAGGCTCACTGAGCTATTTAGCTATTTTTGATAAGCGACCTGGCCACATATAATAGCCCAACGAAGTGGCTTATCAAGTGGACATTTATAGCAGCCAAAGAATCTAAACGCGTGACGTTGATTCTAAATGTGGAGAGGAAAATCTAGACGACCCGGAGAAAAATCCACGCGACACGGGGAGAGAGAGAGAGACATGTCAACTCCAAATACACAGCAGCAGCAGGCGTCAGCTTCAGGGTCAACCCCAGGAGGTCCTGCACACCAGGCGAGGTAGTCAACATCTCGCCACCGTGATGATGAGAGAGAGAGACATGTCAACTCCAAATACACAGCAGCAGCAGGCGTCAGCTTCAGGGTCAAACCCAGGAGTTCCTGCACACCAGGCGAGGTAGTCAACATCTCGCCACCGTGATGATGAGAGAGAGAGACATGTCAACTCCAAATACACAGCAGCAGCAGGCGTCAGCTTCAGGGTCAACCCCAAGAGGTCCTGCACACCAGGCGAGGTAGTCAACATCTCGCCACCGTGATGATGAGAGAGAGACATGTCAACTCCAAATACACAGCAGCAGGCGTCAGCTTCAGGGTCAAACCCAGGAGGTCCTGCACACCAGGCGAGGTAGTCAACATCTCGCCACCGTGATGATGATGATGAGAGAGAGACGCAAACTACAAATATACAACGTCGTGAACGTCACGCTGAACGTCGTGTGAACGTCGGGTGAACGTCGCGCTGAACGTCGTGCGAACGTCCTGTGAACGTCGCGCTGAACGTTGCGGTGAACCCACGGCTGTGCGGTGAGCCGTGGCAGCGTCATGGTTAGCAGCGCACTGCGTTACAAGCAAGTCACCTGAGTTCGATTCCCAAGCACGCCGAACAGGAATGGCGAGCGGCATCTGTGCTGGTCTACGGGCCTCCCCCAGGGCGACTCGGTCTCCAATGAGTACCTGGTGCGATGTGCAAACGTCAGCACTCGGGAGACAAAGGCGGCCGGGGGTTATTCTGTCCACACCGCTCCCTCGTGTGCCCTGCCGGGCCTTGATAGGTGCTCGCTGGTAGCACTTGCCCCTACAGCCTGTGTGGGCTACACGGGGGGGGCTTTGATTTTGTTGTTTGTAAGAGGTGATATTCGTTTTAGGCTACGTTGACCTAGGCAGAGGTCAAGGTCAGATGAATCAGGTGATGGTTGCTCACCAATACACGCACACGACGATACAGAGATAAAGATTACCCACGTAGCCTTTAATAGACTGTCATGGCAAGTGTTCTTAGCAAGCACATATTGAAGGTCGGCACGGCACACGAGGGGGTGGTGTGTGGCCAGAACCACGCCCGGCCGCCTTTGTCTCCCTCGTGTAAGGCTGAGTAAGACCTGCGTACACATGAACACGCGCACACACGCGCGCCTTCACGCGCACGCACGCAGCGAATATCTCAAACGGAACTATTTTTTCGGGTTTAGATTTTTTCCAATTTAAATTTCATTTCCTCGGAAGGGCACAAAGTGCCGTGAAGCGGTCCCGGGATCCCCCCCTTTCCCCCCTCCCCTTATCGCCCTTTTTTTCCAGCCACACCCCAGACCCCCTCCCCTCCGGCCATCCATCTCCCCCGCAGACACCCCCCACCACACCCCCCACACCCCCCACCACACCCCCCACACCCCCCCCACACTCCACACCCACCTCCCGCCCTTACCTCTCTGACCCCCAGTACATCACCCCCTCCCCTCTCCCCATCGACCGGCCCCCCCCCACCTCCCCCCACCTCCCCCCACCCCCCACCTCCCCCCCACCTCCCCCCCACCATTTTCCTCTTCCCTATCAAACCTTCCCCACTAACACGCGCACCCGTTACCCCCCCACACCTACCGCGACAGCCCCGCCCCTCACCAGTTGCTACCCCAGACACTCCATCACCCCTCCCCCGTTCTCCATCACCCCCCCTCCCTTTCTCACCATTTCGACGCCACCCCTCCCCTCAATTCTCCCCCCCCCCCCTCCTCTCCCCGGCCGCGTTCATCACTCCCCCTGTACACCCCCCCCTCCCTTCAACCCCCCCCTTCCACCCTCCCTCCCCCCCACGCGCTCCCTCGTTTAAATAGCAGAGCCGGTAGACGCGGATCCTTCTCTCCTTCTCTCCGCTCCGACCAGCTCCTCCTCCTCATCTACACGCACGCACGCTCAGGTACTCGCTACGCAATAACAGCAACAGCATCGTCAACAACAGCGTCATCATCAACAACAGCATCAGTCGGAGGATCAGTAATCACATCCTCAATAGCGCGGTTAGCAGCAGCAGTAGCAGCATCAGGTGACACTGTTGTTGCATGGTGAGTGAGTGGTATTCGTATCACCACCATCATCAGCAGCAACATCAGTCGTATGAGCAGCATCAAGTTGCAGTGTAATTAACATCAGAGGCGCCATCAGCGATCGCAGCATCATCGGCAGTAGCAGTTAGCAGCAGCAGCAGTGGCATCATCATCATCAGCAGCAGCAGCAGCATCGTGCCGAGCACCCCAATATCGTCAAGGTCACCACCACCATCATCAGCGGCGAAATCATCACCTTGAGCATCATCATCATCATCCATCATCAGCAACAGCAGCACACACACCTGTTAACCACTCATAATTAAGACAGGAATTAATTCTCGTAAATATCGATCCGAGTTTGCGAGCGATATTGGCGTGTAAATGTGTCTTTAAAAATACAGACGTTCGACACGTAACGTATGCATATATGCGAGATCGCGTGCGTGAATTCTATGTCCACGTGGATTACGCGGGCGTGCGTTTGGCATGCATCCAGCGGTGGATTTGACCGCGGTCGATATTCGGTTAAACGAGACGCGGATCGCAGCGGTGACGCAGCGGCTATTGGCAAACGGCGTTGCTGTTGCTGCTGCTGCTGAGAACTCCGCGGGACCTGGGTTCAATTCCCGGGCCACGGCGAACATCAGTGGCGAGTGTGAGATCTCAACCGGCCCCCGACCTTCAGCGCAACGGCAGATTCGTTGAGGACGCTGGGCTGTGAATCACGCCCGATGCTCGTTTTTGTCAACGTACAGACGAGACGCAGCGATGGGGAGGAGATGTTAACTACCTCGCCTGGTGTACAGGAGGTCGCGGGTTCGATCCCGACCCTGACGCCTGCTGCTGTAGATTTGGAGTTTGCGTCCCTCTCTCTCATCATCACGGTGGCTAGGAGATGTTAACTACCTCGCCTGGTCTACAGGAGGTCGTGGGTTCGATCCCGACCCTGACGTCTGCTGCTGTATATTTGTAGTTTGCATGTCTCTCTCATCATCACGGTGGCTAGGAGATGTTAACTACCTCGCCTGGTGTACAGGAGGTCGTGTGTTCGATCCCGACCTTGACGCCTGTTTGCGTGTCTCTCTCCCCGTTGTCGCGTGGATTTTTCTCCGGCTCCTCCGGGTTTTCCCTCCACATTTAGAATCGCGCGTTTAGAGTATTTGGCTGCTGTACATTTCCACGTGATGATGATAATAATGATGATAAGCCAATTCGTTGAGCTATAATTTGTGATTGCCAGGTCGCTTCTGAAAAAAAAATCTATATCGCTCAGTGGGCCTTACCTGGTAAAATGATCATTTAAAAATAGTTTATAGTTTAAATAATTTAGTTTAATTGTGCCATCGAGGATTTCTCGCCACGCCGCGAGGGTCGTAGGCGGCTACGTGATCATACTTCACCACGTCGGTCGGTACAGACTGGTGGGGGGGGCGGGGGGGAGGTCTGGAGATAAGTGGGGGGAGGGGCATGAAGACCAATCCTATTTGCTGCACTGCCCCCTGCCTGCCGACTGCTGCGAGCAGCCTCCGTCTCGTGCGCTCACATCGCCCGGCCAATAGCGACCCGCCCCCTGGCTCCACGTGCCCCCTTATCGCTTGAGGTGCTCCTGCGAGACCGTGGCCTGTCTATCTCCCCCCCCCCCGTTCCTCTCTCTCACTCAGATGGTTCATGGTGGCCAGGTTGGACACAATTAAAACTTCCTCGGTGGTTCAAGTCGCCTGGCCTCTGCGTGGGTGCCTCTGTCTCCCTGCCTCGGGGTTCACGGTGGCCATGTCAGAGCCATCACGGCCGGCACCCAACCCACAAATTATCCAGGCTCAAATCCCAGCTCAGCTTTTGAGATTGGGTCGCGTCCCGGCCGATTTAGTGATGGGCTGCTTCATCATCAGCAGCAGCAGCTTTTTGTAATGCTGCTGCTGCTGATTACATTGATCAGACTGAGCGCGAGGAGCGGTGGCGCAGTGGTTAACACACTGGCTCACATCATTGGCTCGTGATACCTGAACTGGCCTTCATCCAGCGGTAGATTGACAACGAACGGGGGTGGGGCTTAGCGTCGGTGAGGGAGCTGTGATTATGATGACCAAGCTGACGAGGCGCGTGCGTATGGGACGTGTTTGCACGTGTCTCAGCAAATCAAAGCGCCTTGCATCGCATCTCAGTTTCAAGCTTGTTTTTGTTTAAGCCTAGGGGACACCCTGATGGCAGCTGCCCCTGTGCGGGGATGTGATTCTCCCAAGTGAGTCATTTGAAAGTCAATTTTGGCAAAATTGGACCGAGTCGCCGGCACACGATCTCCTACGTCACGGGATTTGTAACGTCCTCCGGGAAGCAGACGGGGCGCGTTTATCTTTCTTGAAAGGTGAAATAAACCGTCAGTGGTATTAACCAGGGAGGCCGACGTTAGAACCGTGAAGCTCTGCAACTACGCAACAGACTAGATACGACTGCTGTGTCGCTCCATCGCTGCGTGCTTCGTGCTGATGGTGATGCTGATGGTGATGTTGGTGATGATGGTAGTGGTGATGATGATGATGTTGGTGATGATAATGGTGAATATGGTGATGGTGGTGATGATGGTGGTGATGATGGTGATGTTCGTGATGATGATGCTGATGATGATGCTGATGATGATGGTGACGATGATGATTATGGTGATGGTGGTGATGATGGTGATGCTTATGATGATGCCGATGATGACGATGCCAATGATGATGTCGATGATAATAATTCCAATGATAATGATATCCATGGGGATGCCAATGATGATGCCGATGATGCCAATAATGATAATACCGATGATCATTATGCCGATGATGATGCCGATGATGCTGGTCATGCCGATAATGATGATACCGATGACGATGCCAATGATGATGCTGCCCATAATAATTCCGATGATGATGCCGATGCTGATGATGTCGGATGATGATGCCAGTAATGATAATACCGTTGATCATGATGCTAATGATAATAATGCCGATGCTGGCGATGCCCATAATGATGGTGATGCCGGTGATGATGATGATGATGATGCCGATGTCATGGTGATGCCGGTGATGATGATGATGTCATGGTGATGCTTGTGAAGAGCCCCGCCGCCGCCGCTGCTGCTGCTGCCATGGACCCGTCAAATCGCTTCGCGGGAGAGAAGACCAGCTGGAAGGTGTTCGTGTGGAACCCCGAGACGAGGCAGTTCCTGGGCAGGACGGGCTCCAGCTGGTGTGAGTGGCAGGCTGGGGGCACACGTCTTCTCACTCACACCTCACTCCTCACTCACTCCTCACTCCTCATTCACTCACTCACTCACTGCTCACTCACTCCTCACTCACTCCTCACTCACTCCTCACTCCTCATTCACTCACTCACTCACTCCGCACTCACTCCTCACTCACTCCTCACTCACTCCTCACTCACTCCTCACTCACTCACTCCTCATTCACTCCTCACTCACTCATCACTCACTCCTCACTCACTCCTCACTCACTCACTCCTCATTCACTCCTCACTCACTCATCACTCACTCACTCCTCACTCCTCATTCACTCCTCACTCACTGCTCACTCACTCCTCACTCACTGCTCACTCACTCCTCACTCACTCACTCCTCACTCACTCACTCACCCCTCACTCACTCACTCCTCACTCACTCCTCATTCACTCACTCACTCCTCACTCACTCACTCCTCACTCACTCCTCATTCACATCACTCACTCCTCACTCACTCACTCCTCACTCACTCCTCACTCACTCACTCCTCACTCACTCACTCACTCACTCCTCACTCACTCACTCCTCACTCACTCACTCCTCACTCCTCACTCACTCCTCACTCACTCGTCACTCACTCCTCACTCACTCCTCACTCCTCACTCACTCCTCACTCACTGCTCACTCACTCCTCACTCACTCACTCCTCACTCACTCACTCCTCACTCACTCCTCACTCACTCCTCACTCCTCACTTACTCACTCCTCACTCACTCACTCACTCCTCACACTTCACTCACTCACTCCTCACTCACTCGCTCACTCCTCACTCCTCGCTCACTCACTCACTCGTCACTCACTCATCACTCACTCACTCCTCACTCACTCACTCACTCCTCACTCCTCATTCACTCCTCACTCACTCGCTCACTCCTCACTCCTCGCTCACTCACTCACTCCTCACTCACTCACTCACTCCTCACTCCTCACTCACTCCTCACTCACACCTCACACCTCACTCACTCCTCACTCACTCGCTCACTCCTCACTCCTCGCTCACTCACTCACTCCTCACTCACTCACTCCTCACTCCTCACTCACTCCTCACTCACACCTCACACCTCACTCACTCCTCACTCACTCGCTCACTCTTCACTCCTCGCTCACTCACTCACTCCTCACTCACTCATCACTCACTCACTCCTCACTCACTCCATCACTCACTCCTCACTCACTCCATCACTCACTCCCTCACTCACTCACTCCCTCACTCACTCACTCACACGTGCCTCACACCTCACTCCACACAGACACCTCACTCACTCACACTTCACTCACGAGGGGTTGATTAGGACAACCTCGCACCCGGCCGCCTTTGTCTCTCTAGTGGCGATGTTTGCACATCGCGCCAAGTACTCATTTGAGGCTGAGTCGACCTAAGGGAAAGCCCATGACTGGTTCAGATAATCGTCACTGGTGTTGGTGGCCGTGAGCGGGAATCAAACTCGGGTCACCGGGTTCGTAGCGCAGCGCGCTAACCACTGCCCCACCGCTCCCCACGACACACGTACACCCGCACTGCTACCGCATGCCCTACAAACAACAAAGATGCCCCGTGTAGTCTTCACAGACTGTTGGGGCAATTTCTGATAGCGAGCACCTACGAAGACCGACACGGCACACGAGGGGGTGGATAGCCAGCACCACGCCCACCTTGCCACTTGTTGTACCCCGCTTGTCATGATGTGTGCAACTACAGATGCGTGTGTGTACAGGTGTGTGTGCACAGGTGTGTGTACAGGTGTGCTTCTGGAGGAACCCCGAGGGTAAGGATTCAGTCTCCTGGCTCTGCAAAATAGGGTTTGGCCAGGAGATGTCAAAGACGCTTGTCCCACGGGGCCTCCAGCACAAGCTTAGCTCTATTTTATCCGTGGTTTTGTGGTAATTAATTGAAGGTGGAGGGTTACCAGCCTCTCGCTCCAGTCTGGAGCTCCTTTTGGCCGCTGCGGTGGCTTCAAACGCCATGAGGGGAGTAGCCAATCTAAATTGGCCCTCCCCCCATGGCGCTGTTCACCACGGCGTTACCATCCAGCACCAACGAGGAGGTAGGGGGTTGTTTTGCTGGACTGCAAAAAAAAAAACACTCCGGCTCGCCACGTGGAATGTTTGAACGCTCACTTAGGAGGAGAGGCTGCCACTCCTTTGTCTGGAGCTGGACCGGTACCGCCTGGATCTCTGCAGCATTCAGAAGGTCCGGTGGACTGGCTCTGGCGTCTGCCAACATGAGGGGTGGACAGTCCTCTACTCGGGGCAGGAGACTGCCAAACAACAGGGGGTGGCTCTTCTTCTGAAGAAAAATAATTAAGGAGGCATGGGAGCGTGGCGGTGAGGTGTGGGAAGCTGTAAGCTACTTTGGGCTCGCCTTCCCACCAACCAGAGGGGAGGAGTGGTGGTCGTAGTTACTTATGCTCCCACCGAAGATGAACATCAGTAGAGGGATGCAGGCAAGGCCGATGAGTCAGATGCCTTCTATGACCTCCTGTCACAGGTGCGAACTAAAGTGGCCCGTCGGGATAGAGTCAACTTGTTAGGTGACTTTAATGCTCGAGTGGGTCATGATGTTGGCACCTGGTCTGGAGAGATGGAATGCATGGGCCAGATCAGCTCAATAACATCGGTAGGAGGCTGATAGACTTATGTACAGCCCATGGGCTTGTAATCACCAACACGCTTTTCCGGCATCGGCGCATCCACACAACATAATGGATACACGCCGGGTCCACGCAAGAACATCTTCTGGACTATGTTGTGACGGATCAGCGGATGCAGGCCCATGTCCTTGACACGAGGACCTACGGTGGAGCTGATCTGCCCACTGACCATCAACTTGTCATCTGCAAGATGCTCCTGCCACTCTTCCACTCCGGTGGTGGGTGTACATCCAGGACCTCGTTCAAACCCACAGTAGCCTCAGCTAGCTGGTGAAAGTTTCAAGCGAGAATGTCATCATCGCTTGCAACTGAGGTTGGCATCGTCTCCCACTGCTCCTGATGCCGAGGGGAAATGGGCGAGGTTTAGAAGTGTGGCTCATGCAGCTGCAATTGCTGCTTTGGGTGCACGGTCCAAACCTCCCGAGACACCCTAGCTGACAGAGGAGGTGTTCTGGCCGGCTGAAAAAAAGCTGAGGGAGGGTGGCGTTTGTGCTAGAGAACTGCCCTATATAACATCATAATAACAGTCTGGGCCACTGGACAGGTTCCACAGGATTGGAAGGATGCCCTGGTGGTCCCCCTGTTTAAGAAGGGGGACTGCACAGACTGTAACAACTACAGGGACATCTCCCTCCTCAGTGTGGGGGGAAAGGTCCTGGCATGGATTATTCAACATCACCTTGCCAGGCATGCTGAGGGGAGGCTTGTGGAGCCCCAATGGGGTTTCAGGAAAGGGCGGTCCTGTACAGATGATATTTTTTCTGTCCGTCTGCTACAGCAGAGGTGTAGGAATTCCAACAGGACCTACATTTCTGCTTTATTGACCTGGTCAAGGCCTATGATACCATCAGTAGGCCTGGGCTCTGGGTTGTTCTTCATGCTTTCGGAGTCCCCGATTATCTGCTCACAATCATTAACGACCTTCTTGATGGTGGGCAGACCCGGCTAAAACTATGTGGCTGGGAGTCGGAGCCGTTCCCTGTTCACCTTGGGGCGCGACAAGGATGTCCTCTAACTCCCACATTATTTCACATCTATTTCAACCACGTAGTTCGTGAAGCCTTCAATGGTTGTACCAGATGAATTTCACTTTGGTACAGATATAATGCACAGGTGCGGTCAAGGGATGGCTCCCTATTGGTCAACCATGTTACGTATGCTGATGATCTGGTGATTGCTGCCCACTCAGAGGAGGAGTTTGAGACGCTGCTGCTGAACCTGGAGCGTGCTACTAAGAGGTGGGGCCTTACCATCAGCCCCACCAAAACTAAGCACTTGCCTGGATATTTTGTAGCATCAGGCACTCCACCCCCACAACTCCCAATTGGTAATGGGGCAGTTGTGGAGAGAGTGGAGAGTTTTCCATACCTGGGCAGTGTGCTCATGACTGGCTCTGGTTTAACAGCAGAGGCCTCACTCTGAATCAGTCGAGTGGCATTATCTTTTCTTCGGCTGCATAACGCTGTGTGGAAGCGACCTGGTCTTTCGCTCCACACGAAGCGTCTTCTCGGCCACGGCCATGCCCTCCCTTGTCTATACTTGCGAAATGTGGACCTTTCTAATGGAAATATTCGCTGGTTAGAAACATTTAGGCTGGCCTACCTACGATCCATCCTGGGTTTAACCAGGCTGGATTGTGTGAGGAGCCCACAAATCCTTGAAAGATCTGGGCAAAATCCCATCTGTGAGCTCCTCTAGCAGGCAAGGCTGCGTTGGCTGGGTCATGTAGCCCGCATGCCCAGCCACCTACATGCCTGAACAGCTTTTGTTCGGCCGAATAGAGGGGGCAAAACGGGCGCGGCTCTGGTTAGAGAAGAGATGGAGTGATGTGGTACAGGAGGACGTGGAGCTGAGTGGACTTGCCGATGACTGGTACCAGCGGTGTCAAGATCGGCCTCTGTAGAGGAGGCTCGTGAAGGACGCTACTGGGCAGTTGGCGGCAGTCGCCTTCCAACAACAACGGAGGGCGGAGGAACGACGCTCACAACAACGAGCGGAGCGCCGGGTGGCTAAAGCACAGCAATGCGGCACAGTAGGGGGCACAGGTGGTGCATCAGCCACTCATCTCAGTCAGTCGACCCGTGGCACCTGCTGGGTCTGCCCCGTGACCTCCTGCCAGCGGGCGTTCGACACTTCACGTGGCCTCAAGGTGCACATATCCTGGCATAAGCGTCGTGGTGACGTCAGCGCCACTTAGTGGCGAATGGCGGTTGTTGCTGTACAAGTGTGCATCTACAGGTGTGTGTGTACAGGTGTCTATGTGTGTGTGTGTAGAGGTGTGCGTGTCTGTACATGTGTGCCG